ACTCAAATCATAAAAAAGATTTCTTCCCCAATTAGACAATACCAGATAAGGCAAACACAGGAAACCCCAGCTCGGTAGGGTGGTGAACTTAGAACGCTCCCTTCTAAAGTTCTAGTCAATTTCACCGGAGAGCGATCTCTCCTGGAATCCCGGCTGATCACCTTTTCTAAGAATTCCTAGGGGGCAGGCATTCCTTTGCACCTTTCCAGGAACACTAGTCTCTTCCCTATAAAAGGAACTCCTGGGGAAGCTCCAGCGGCCTGGACAGCTGATTGTCTTGTGTATCAGGCTCTGGGAAATAAACTCTTCTCTCTCCTTCAAGGAACTGCCTGCGTGTTTATTCCCAGCTTGGAGACGAACCTGATAAGCTTTCTTCTAACAGAACCACAGGAATCCTGAACTGGAGTTGGGGCACCTGGATCTTGGGGAGTAGATTGGTGGATAGGTCTCTTCCTTTGGAGCTGCTTCTAGGTGAAGAAATGTCCTGTGTCCATGTTCCCCCCTCTGCTTCCCTCCCATGCCTATTCACAAATGTAAGTAGAAATCATCCCCAAAGAATACCCATCTCTTGTTACACTTGTTCAACAAATGCTAATATAAAGCAATGCCTAAAACGTTCAACATGTATCAAGCAAAAGCAAACATACCTGTTTTGGGACTGCTGTTGGGGAAAATGTTAACAATTGGTAGTAGTTTTAAGTTCCTTCTCACGCCCAGTTGTCGTACTTACTCAAGCACTTTTCCTTGTTTCATTTAGCCTGCAGAATACTAACGGCATTTCCAGTTTTCAGAAGAGGCGTGTTGCAGAAAAGGGAAGTGTTTGCAGAAGGGACTGCTGTCAGCCAAAGGCAGCCCTACGTAAAAGCTCATTATAAATAGTCTGGCAAGGAAGCAAGTGCATGGATGACTTAGACCAGGCCCAGCTGCTCCAGGTATGATTGCAGACAAAGCACAAGCCCGAGCAGACAGACTTTCTTAATTTTTTCCTTAACAGAATTTCAAACCTCTCTTTTAAAGTGAACTGAAGTTGTGACTTCTCCCTTACAATGTTGCAACATCTTCCTGTAAATCAGAGAAAAACGTGTCTTAAAACGGAATTAAAACCCCTCATATGTAGACATAAACCCCGCATATGTAGATATAATTATGGAACACAAAAGTCTAGTTCAAGCAGGTTAAGAAAATACATTTTTACAGAGCTACATTCTAGTTGCTGGAATGTACTGATATACAGTATGCCAATGGGTATAGAACTTCCTGCTAAATATAAATTAATTAGCTAACTAAGTAAATATCCTGTATACAGAAATTAAACATCTGTGATCAGGATATAAAAGATAGAAGGGAAACACCTATATGGGTCAAGAATAATAAAAGCAGGGTGAAACCTAAGAATTCAGTAACTCATATATATCCCTGGGCAAAAGACTCCTAACAAAAACAATAAGATCTTCTTACACAATTGACCATGACCTCTCAGTTACTTGGGAAACCTAAAGAAATGTCATACCTCTGGAAAGTATTATGTTTGTCACCTGTTATGTGTCAGGCTATAATAAGAGCCAGCTTGGATCACACCAAAGACCTAGGAGAGAGTAGGAGTATTGGTACTGTAGTCCTGTAAAAGTTAGACATCAATGCCAGCAGCTTCAGTCTCCATAGCCAATGGTAAAAGATGGTGGGAGCTGTGATTCTAAAACATTTGGTGAATCAGTCCACCATACTGTTCCCACAGTGATTAACCAAACACCTATAGGAAGCACACAGTAGGCCATAAGGTCAATAGCACCATCTTGTTCATGTATCCCACCAGCTTTTTCTTCTTTAATTTGTCCAGGCAGCCCAGCAATAAACAGTATTCCAATAGTAATTATTGTTAGCTATGAATTCCAGATATAGGACTAATAGGGTAAAAGTGTCTCCTGGACAAAACTCATCCCAGCTAACCACACAAGATTGTGCTTCCACTATCTTGATAGGACTTGCCCAGTCAGAGTTCAACTCCAAATGGATCTGAGTGACTTTATCCTAGATGCCTAGATTATTCTTCACAGAGGCTCTTCAAATGTTTTTGTAGCCTGTCCCTCTGCAGCAATGAATAGGTCACCTTAAAAAGGGCTGCTGGACAGCTGTCTGTGGACATGATAACAGTAGAAAAATACTAATACTTTGCTGCTCTTATTGCCACAATGTAATCCATAATATGGGTTCTTAACTGTAGTTGGCCACATTCACTCTGTATCTCTTCTGCTGTTTCATCTCCTGGAGCATCTTGGAAAACCAAGAAACAGCCTGGGATTGACTACAGTGAGAGACTACATGGGAACAATCTGATTGAAGTCCCTTCTTACATGCCTATTTCAGAGTGCAACAAAGGGCTCAGTTGAACTGTCCACTGAAAACTCAGGGAAAACCCCAAGCTCCTTCTGGAACCCATCAGGGACCATTAATCACCTAGGGCAGTTCAATCTAATAGTCCTGCAATCTTGTGAGGTAGGGCAGCACCAGCAAAGTGAAAGCAATCATAGAGTGATCCAACCATAGCAAGGGACTAACAGTTACATCTCCCATTACCAGCTCACATTGCAACTACCCCAAGACAAAAACCAGATCCAATATACAATCTCCAATGGTCAAGTCCATGGTTGCCATGATGGCCATGAACTCTTGAGTGGCTCCAGACTCTACATCAACTGGAGGCAGTTTGAAGTCACCACGAATGATTAGGCTTGGCAGCTCCACCACCAGCTAGGTGACAAAATCCATGCAGGAATGTTGCTGTGCCGCAGGGAAGCCAGTAGAATAGTAGCAGCCAAAGTGCTCCATAGAGCCCAACTTCAACCAGAGGGTTTCACAGTGGGGTATCTGTGGAGCCAAGCTCTGAAAGCTATCTAGGTTTCCCAGGTGACAATTGCTCCCCCAACTCCCATACACACCCTGGGAACCTTTATTTGTATTTCTGTTGTATCATGAGTTAATTCCTTCAGGTTGTATTTGGTATAACAAAGAACTGAACTCTTAAACAAACACTGCAATGGTATGAGTTGAAGCTGTCTGACTACTAAGATCCCATATTTCAGATCTATATTCTAATTGGGTCAGAACTCTGGGAATGATGGAGTTGCTGCAGGAAACAAAACTCAGGGACCGTTTCAAAAAGTGAAGGAAAGGGCAAATGAACTGTAGAATTCACCCCGCCTTTAACTAGTAAATACTATTTCCTATGAAACATTACACAGTATATCACATACATTTAATGTTATTTATTTTAGAATTAGAAACAAAACTTCAATTTTTCTTGCTCAAGGTGAAAGATGAAACCTGGTTAAGATTAAGTTTTCTAGTTCACTCATTTTTTATATTTAATATGGCAAGTCCAGATAGTCCTTGTTGGGACATTGTGCTCCTCAAGTAATTTTTAAATTGCTTCAATTTTCAGAAAGCCCCTTTTGCCCTTGTTTCTGCCACTGGAATAGCTATAAACCGCAGCAATGCTATTCATACATCTGAGACAGTAGAACACAGGACTGCTTATTAGCAACTACGGATAGCTGACAATGAATCAACTCCAAGCTTTTAAAAAAATAATGTAAATTTAAATTTGAATTTAAAAAGTACAGTGTATACAATAATATGAAAGGATCAACAGAATTACAAAAGTAATAAGCATAGCAATAAAAAAAAGGGGGGGAGCCCAAAACGTATGTTACAAACAGAATTACAAAAGCTTTGACCTCATTGCTTGAAAGTCTTCTTATTTGGCCCTTTGCAATAAATAAATAAATAAATAAAT